AGCTGTGTCATTCCTGTACCGCTCCAAACTCCCACCTCAGCCAGAGGGAAAATGCTGTAAATCACTAGTGGCACGGCTATGACTTACAGCTATTTGGGTTTCACAAAGGGGGTAATTTATAGCAGTACAACAAGAACCTGCACGAGTGGTTTAAATGGAATAGTTTAAATCTCCAGAAAAGACAGGAGGTGGGATTCAGCGAGAAGCCTGCAGTTCACTGCCAGCATTGCAGAGAATTTGTGTCCCATTTCTCAGCTTGGGTCTGAAATCTACAGGTTTGGGAAAACTGACCAACTGAATCTGGTTTGTTTTGGTCTCTCCTCAAGGTTTACCAAGCGGACACCGGCCACTTTCTCTGCAAAGACAAGTATTATGGCAGGAAACTCTCACCGGAGGGATTCAGGCAAACCTTGTGCCAGTTCCTGTGCAACGGTAACCACCTCCGGACGGATCTGCTGGAGCCCATCATCCTGCGGCTGAAGGCTCTGCTTTCTGTTATTAGGAAGCAAAGCTCTTACAGGTTCTACTCCAGCTCACTCCTCATCATTTATGACGGACAGGAGCACAAGGAGAACACGGCACCCTTGGACAACCACCTTCACTTCCCAAAAACAAACTGCACCACGTCACACGGCACGCATCCCTCCAGAGTCGACGTCCGGATGATAGACTTTGCCCACACCACCTTTAAAGGCTCCAAAAGCAATCCCACCACCTACGACGGGCCAGACCACGGCTATATTTTTGGCCTGGAGAATCTCATCAAAATCCTTCAGAGTATCTCAGAAGGCAAATGACAAATGCGGTGGGATAGCCGGGATTTACTACCCTGAAAAGTACCGCGTTGGGTCAGCTGTACAGGACCCTCGCAGCCACTGGGTGTCACGTGCAGGGTTTGGAGTGAGAGCATGGACAGCTTGCTAGGAAAGCGCAAAAAAAAAGCTACGTGCCACTACTGAACTCAAGCGTAAAAAGCAAAGAGCTGAAAGAATCCGTCCTGTCTGCCATCAATCAGACGATTTATTCTCCTTTCTTGTTTTACTGCTGTCCTTGATTTATTTGTGAGCCAAAAGAAAGCATTACTTCAAAGAGTCTTAATGATAAAACACGGCCTGCTCACCTCTATGCTCGCGAGGCCAAGCGGGCTAAGGAGATCTTGTGCATTTGAGCGAGACTGTTAAAACGAGCCGGCGGGTTGGAACAGACTGCAGCCCGGCTTTCAGCTCATGCCCAACGCTACGACGCAAGCCGGGGGAGAAAAACGCCCGCTGCACATGCCTGGCGCCACGGGAGGGTCAGGGGCTCCCCGTGTAGCGCGGGTGTCGGAACACAGACGTACGAGATGCTGCGGAGGTTCTGTGCTGCTTAACCTCAGACCAAGAGCTGGACCTCGCAAAGGTTTCGCATCCCCGCGGGAATGTGACAGGGCACGTTCCAGAAACTTTCTGAGCAAGGGGCTCTGTAGGGGCTGGAATGATGCGATGATTCTGTCAGATGCCAGTCACAAAATGCATTCACATCAAGGGATTTTTGCTTAAAAAAACTGGAAAAAGTAAAAAAATAAAAGTGTGAGATTGAGTCAGGGACTGGACGTTAAAGGTCATGCAGAAATTCTTTGAAACACTTATTGTGTGTGTTTGGAAGGGACAGTAACAAAAGACTCAAAATGATGTTTACAGCTTTTGTGGACAGATTTCATTATTATGGAACAAACACAATTCCTTCCTGCATGGTGTGGGAAATTTGAAAGAGAAGTCCTTACACAAGGAATAGAACTACAGAACCCCATTACTGGGGAGTGGGGATATAAATAAAATTGTCTAATTAACCCTCACTTGTTGCCCATCTCTTTGTCAGCATCCTGACGTTACAGTATCTTTTGTTTAGGTATGTATGTCTTGAAAAGAACCATCATTTCCACAGGTTTAAACACCAGATCCCAGGGGACACCCCTTCACTCCTATTTTACTGCATACAGCTGGCGAATTCCTACAATTTATAGCTGGAAAATTTAAGTCATCTGGCCCAGTTGCGTTATTTTACTTGGCCTAAAGTCCATCTGGGAAGACCTCATTATTTACTGGATATTGTTCACAGTGTTGCATATTTCTCGCCCACGAATTCAGATGACTATACAAAAAGCCATAAACAGTGGTTCCTTAGTGAGAAGATTGAATCACCGATTGTCTTGGCTCACAGGTGTGCACCGTGGCCCTGTGATCAGCGCTCGCTGCGGCCGGTAACAGACCCACCTCAGCATCTGCATCGCTGCTGAGCCTCCTGCTGCATGTGCCCGTGTGTCGTGGTTTAACCCCGGCTGGCAAAACACCACGAAGCCGCTCTCACAGGTCTCCCTCCCCTCCGCCAGTGGAGGGGACGAATCGGAGGAAAAAGAAATAAGGAAGCTTGTAAAATTGAGATAAGAACTATTTACTAATTAAATCTAAATTAATATTTACAAATACTGCTAATAATAAATAATTAAAATAACAGAAAATAAAACATATGATACAATATGATACAATTCTTCACCATCCATCGACCAATGCAGAACTGGTGTTGAGTGGTAGGAGTCAGACCCAGAGAGCCCGAGAGCCGCAGGGCGAGCTGATTGGAGGC